ATCGGTTTTACCATTTCCAAACCTTACGTCATTCAAACCCTTCGAAATACAAAACAAAAAAATCAAAAAGAGTGAGATCGAGGGCAGGAGCCAACAACAACAGTGGACGATGATAGAGAGCAAAAGACAATGAGGCAACGAGTGGTTTGAATGACGTAGGGTTGGGAACGAGAAAACTAACTGAAGTTTTTTTTTAATACTTTTAAAAATCTTTCTAGCCGATTTCAGGTAGATTTTTTGTATTAAAAGAATGTAGATAACCAATTTTTAATATCTGATTTATGTTTGTAAAAATCAAAATCAACGGTTGATATTTTTCTGAAAAATTAATATTGAGAATTGACGTATTATCATTTGATGAAAAGACTCAAATTGTATATGGTGATAAAGGTGATGTTACTCTAAAGCAGTAAATATAGCTTTTAGCAAACATTATCTTTGTTGGATGTTACCTATAATGAAATAAATAAAATAAAAAAGATATAGAGTGGATTACAGATCTGTTCAATCGTTTATGGTTGCTTTTTCGTTTTTGTCTCCACAATTCATAATATGGCGGGTAGGGGTGCTCAAAAACCCGATGAACCCGACCAATCCAACCCGAATTTTTAAAAAAAACCCAACCTGAGGTAACCCGATGCATGATCGATAAAAAAATTAGCCAACCCGACCTTATTGGGTTGGAATCGGGTTAGGCCCAAAAGAACCCGACAACCCGATGAATCCGACCTTAACTTTGGCTTTGAATTGTAGATGACAATCATGACATGACCAACCTCAACGTCAAGAAAGCGAAAGCATCGGGGTTGGAATGTCTAAAACTATTGTTGTTGATTGATGTATTATCATTTGGTTTAAACATTTTTATTGTAATATCTAAATATTTGATGAATTTGCATATTATCTTGAATGGTCGTCTATTTCAAAGGAAAGTTTCCTTTATTTTTATGTGATTTTACATTGTTTAAACACAACCCGATCAACCCGAATGGGTTGGGTTGGGTTGAACTTTTGTTTGGGTTGCGTTGGATTGAAAATTTTCAAACCGCGACATTGGGTTGGGTTGTTAAAACGGCTCCAAACCGATCAACCCGGGCCGTGAGCACCCCTAATGGCGGGTGGTCCAAGTTTTGACTTTCAAAGCCTATACATGTGCCTTCACTTAACATTGTTAAAGGAGGCTCGTTAAGACAGTCATGCGCCACTAACGTGAGGGGCATTTTCATCATTTTATGTCTAAATTTAGAGAAAATTTACGTGGAAAACTCTAAAACCAAGGGAAAACCACTGGCTTCAGAAAAGAAAAAAATATTATTTACAAAATTATTACAGTCACGCAATTTTATCTTTCATGTCTCCTCTAATTACAACCACGTTCTCAAATATCAACTCGTATATTTCATATACTCTAAACCAGAAGAACAAGAAACGAAAAGTAACTATAACTTTAGCAAATATGATTTGCATATATAATATATGTTTCACATAACATGAATTGTAAAATAATACATATTGGTTCTAAATATATACAACATTACTTGTAAAAGTTACTACAACCTTTTTGTTTTAGTTTATATGACTTCAATATAACAGATTCGCTAGTCGGTGTAGAGAACAACTTCCACAAAACTCAAGTTTAGCATATAATCAAATGCAAAAACTATAAGACTTCCACTCACATTTTCCCCTTCCGTTTACCTTCCAGATGTACCTGTTCTGAAATGCACATTTTTAAAACAAAATGAGAGTTAGACTATAAGGTCTAGTGAATAATTCACTGATAGCTTTACAAGATGAAAATTCACCAAAAGAATTTTGAAAAGTAAACTTTAAAGTCTAAATAGTAACAGTAGTTGTCGCACATCATATCGTGCGATTATCACATGTTTATTGTACCACAAGGGTACGACAACTCAACTTTTCACATCAAACATCAAATTGTCGCACCACAAGGATGCGACAGCCAGACTCATCGCATCACAAGGATGTGATAACCCAAGCTCATTGCATCACAAGGATGCGACACCCAAGCTCAACGCATCACACTGATGCGATAACCCCAACTCACTGCATCATACTGATGCGATGACAACAAGCTCGTGTGACCAAATTTCATCTTTAAACAAAACCATTGAGTATGTCATCCACAATCATTTACACCTCTCTAGATTATGCCACCATTATCCAATTTACACCTCTCTTGTCGATTATGTCACCCTTATCTCATTTTACATCTCTCCCGTCAATTATGTCACCCTTATCATATTTTACACCTCTCATGCTGATATTTCAATGAACCAATAACATTCCTACAATTGACAATACAATATCAAAACTCAAATATGCTAACAAATAGCACATACTTATATCCGGAAACACCTAAATTCGAAACCCATCAGGTTTTTATCGAAAGCATTTCAGATTAAGCTTTTTAAATAAAAATTCACCTTGATCATAATTAGACGATAATTTTAAACCCACCACAAACTCGAATATCAAACACATAACTTTTTTTCTTTTCTTCTTCTGTTTGCTTGAAATCAGGGACCAAATAATTCACCAACTTTTTTTCTTATTCTTATCCCAAGGGAAAAATAAAAAAACATATATATGTATTTTCCACAAAGCCGGGTGGATGATTTAAGATTTTAAATCAATTTTTCAAAATGCACCTTTTAACTTTTCACAACTAACCAGAAACCACCTTCAACTTCTAAAAAATTTAAAAAAAAAAACAATCCTAAACTTTCAAATAATAATTACGCGGTTATAACATGATCTCTTGTCTATGGTTGCTTTTTGGTCATCGTATTTACAATTCGTGAAGTATGGCAGTCCATTTTATGTATTTTGAATCCCGAAAGGTCTCTCCCCTGACATTGTTTTCTTTTTGATAAACCCCACACCCTCCGTTAAAACCCCTAATTCTACCCTCCATTGTTTGAAACCCCCTCCATGAGAACCTATGTTCTTGAAACCCTTTTGTTCTTCCCGGTCTAAAACGGTTAACCACACCACCACAAGCACCGTCCTTAGGTTTCTCAACCATTGTCAAACACAGAAGGGTGAAAACCCATGTCCACACACAAACAGTTTTGACTCTGAAACAAGAAACTTGAACCATCAATGTACTTTACGAATTGTATGAATGAAAACCGTAAAACATCCACAAACGATGGACCACAAATAAAATTCAGTCAAAGATATATGATTTCTTATTTACATTCAACAAGTTAACTTAAACATGATACTTCTTTTTCTTAATTATTCTGTTTCATTCTTATAATCATCCCCTTATGTAAATTTAGGGGTCGTTTACCAAACGCTTACTCGGGTAAGCGCTTACCAAGACACATTACCTTACGGGATGAATATGGTAAAGACCAAGAATCTTACCCTGTAAGAGGGAGACAATGACCGAGAGTCTTACCCGATAAGTGAGGGCGACGACTCTTACCATGGTAAGCGCTTACTGGGTAAACTGTTGCATACGATGTCGTTTTGGTGGACTAAAGTCTTACCCGGTAAGTAAGTGATAGTGTTAAATTTTACCGGTAAACGCTTATCGGATAAGTGTTTGGTAAACAACCCCTTAGTATTAGATTTATCTATTTACTTTGTCATTGTATACATAATGATCTAAATTTAGTTAACTCAAGTTTTGTATTAGTTGTAAATTTCAAGCTCCCATTTGCTAGAAAATATATTTGAACAACTGGAACATGATTTTTTTTTTGGATCATTTTTGTTTTTAATTTCTTTTTCCAAAATAAAATTGCTTTGGATCTTTGACCAAAAAGGAAGTTTAAGCAAATAATAGACTATAATGATCCACTTTAATAATTGATACCATTTATTACATTTCAAGCCCAAAATAGCAATCTAACACATAATTTCTAAATTAACTTAAACCAATATAAATATTATTGGTAGCTCACAACTTGAAGTTTATAAAGAGTTCAAATAATATCATTTTCTATCATGTGGGACACATTATCACAACCTTCGGGCTTCGCCCCACCCAAATAATCTCACAAATCTTAGTATCCATCAATGTCGAACAAGTTGTTCACATTATAATAAATCTCATATTTTTTAAAAGATGTTTGCAGTTTATTGAAAATCTTATGGGGTTAGCTTAATTGGCAATAGATGTGCTCATGGGTTGGGTTGAACGCTTTTGAACAACTTAACTCAACCTAAATCAAAGTGCAACCCAACCCAAAACCGTACGGGTTGGTCAGGTTGATACTTTGATACGCCAAAATATTCTCTTAACCTTGAATATGTTATTTTCTCTAGTCTACTCATAATTTTTTTTTATTATCAACCATTTGGTACAATTTATCTATACTTCTTAAAACTTAAGTATATCAGATTCAATTAATTTTCCCAATTTACATATATATATATATATATGTGTGTGTGTGTGTGTGTGTGTGTGTTCATTGCTACTAAACATATATACAAATGAGTTATATATAAATAAATAAAAAAATTGAAAATATATATACATAAAGAGAGTACGTGATTGTGTAATTGAAAATATACGTTGTCTGTTACTAAACATATTAATTGAGACTCAACAATCATATTAAATTTAACAAATAAAATGATATTGAGTTCATCAGGTTGGGTTGAGTTCATCAGGTTGGGTTGAGTTCAAATAAAAGTAACCCAATATCAACCCAATACCTATGGTTTGAAGATTAATATAACTAAATTAGACACCGGATTGAATTGAGTTGATCGGGTTGGTCGTGTTTTTGAACACCCCTAATTGGCAATAAGGTTTGAGCCTTCGGAGATTCTCCTTAGTGATCACCAATTCGAGTCCTAAAAATGCCACTAGGGTTTTGCTGGTTGAAGTTCCTTAGAATTAGTCGAAGTGTGCAAGCTGACCCGACACATTAAATGATAATCATTCGGTTTAAAATTTCGATCGGACATCAAGAAAAAAAAATGCCAACCTGGGGGTCTACATAAATTTGTTTTCATGTTCAATTTCCCATTTCTGAAATAGTCTTCAACCCTGGTTTCCATCCCCCTCCTGTTCTGCTATTGTGCACCCTCTGCCATTAAAGAACACGAGCAAGCTCCATGAAAATCGAAAAGGTGAAAAAGGACAGAGATTTGTTGGCACATTGGATTATGCACGACATGAAATGAATAAGTTATGAACACAACTCGCAATTTTTATGATATTTTTCTGGGGTTCGATTGAAGAGATCTCTAATTTCTAGAAAAAAAATGCGCCAAGTGTTATTACCTTAACAGAAGGGGGAACCGACGGAGCACCGGCGACGTCTTTCTTCTTCTTCTCCAGCCGGAGCAGTCCTCTTTCATTTATCAACTTTCCGAGTTTTAAGCACTTCTTTGCAGCAAACTCTTTCAAAACATCTTAAGAACACATTGTAAATTAATCAACTGTGTAAGTGAAATGGTAAATTCAGCCATGGTGATTAGTTACCTTCGAAGCTGATGAGCCGGTAAACTTGGCCAATAAGCAAAGTATCGTCTGGCCGGAGAAGCTTGAGCTGCTTCACCGGCGATCCGTTCACCGACTTCACAACCGCGGAGGTCACAACGAGTGCGACGTAGTGGCTGGGATTTGAATCCATGATTTCACGAGCAATCACCGACCTGAACATCCTCTCGACTTTTTTCCCTGGATGCACAATCACAACAGTCGCTGCGTCCGACGCTTGACAATTCCCCATACCTAATTAACAACCGCCGGCGATAGATCCGGTTAACTAAAAGCGTAATTCAAACCTCGAGAAAACGATTCAGAAACTAGAGCCTTAAAAGATGTAGGTACCTGTAAAAACGGGGGAAAACGTTGGTACAAAGTTTCAGATCCAGCCAATGGAGAGAAGAGGGAGTGACGAACACTGATAGAATCTTCACGTTGATCGATGAGTAGTTTCAGCAAAACACAGATATCTAGATTCCTTTAGTGATGTGATCAACGAAAGAAAGAGGGAGCTGTTGATGTGCTATGGCTATGGCTATTGCTACAGGAGGAGGTGAAAGTAATTGAAAATCGGGAAAGCAAAATTCAGTATAGTAGTACGTACCAATGGGGCTAGTGTTGTAGCATGTGCATTGGTGGATGGTGTAGCAATGGCGGAGGGTGGATGGAGATGTTAATGCAGCAATTAGAGATGGAAATGGAGAAGACGATGGATGGGTATGGAAGCATGGGAGGATATGGAGGATTATTAATGGCCGGCCTACCAAGGATGAACAAAATGACTGCTATTCAAAAACAAATTTGCAGGGTCTTCTATCAATATCATACCCTCCCCCACATCAAATATTAAACCATTTCTTTTAAACCCCAAATGGTATAAATATCGTTTGTTTCATGTATAAATATATATTTTTAATTAACCTAAATATCCAATCTGCTATGCGAGCCGACTAATCCCAGGACGACCATCTGCTTTGCAGATAGCCCGGAGTCACCGCATTTGAACCTTCGTGGCCACAAGGGGATTTTTATTTCTACTTGGATTTGAACCTGTGACCTCCCGGTACTTTTGACCTTTGAAGCCAAGCTCAAACCAATCAGACACCACCCTTGTAGTTTGTATAAATAAATTTGAATGTATGGATTAATTTGTCTTAATATATTGAGAAATTTTTTAACTTTTTAATAGATCGAAAGAGCGTATTTTTTTATTGGGATGAATAGATTTGAAAACATCTTAGTTTTCTACATGGAATTCCCCTATAAACTTAACGAAGAAGCTACTTTTTATATTATTAAATCATTATCAAACAATCATGTGTAACTGACCGAATAAGCCGTGAGTCTCATTAACTTATTAAACTATTAATAAACATGTCTCATGGGTTGTTTGTTTACCTCTTAACGGTTCTATTAAGAGATATCCCTCTGAATGATTAAGAGTTGAATCTTGTTTGGTAAAAAAAATCAATCTCTTAATGGTTTTTAAACTCTCTGAATGATTTTGTATCTTGGGTCTCCCTTAACTATTCAGCACCCTAATTTTATTTTACATTACATTACAAACGTATTTTAATTATTCTGACTACTTAATCATTCATTAACTATTAAACAATCTTTTAGAAGACAATGTACTTTCTTTTGATGTCTCTTTTAAGAAGATACTTTCAAATGATACATTTAAAGTGTAGTTTTTACTTTTTAAGGGTTCTCAAATGTATTATTTGCCCTTTTTTGTCTATAAATTTTTTATGGAACCTTAATTAAACCGTTTATTGGCATGTTAAATTTTTTCAAAATCAAAATTGATTATTTAATTTTAGAACTTCAGGATCAAAAACAAATAACTCTTTGATATTTTTTTTACTTTGTCATTTTAAATATTTTTTGTTGTTTTAATTTATAAGCTTCTTAATATAATATGAAATTTAATATTTATTTTGTTTATTACTCATTTCAGATGATCTATAATTTTAGTGTGGGTGTTATAAAGACTCCACAAAAGATTGGGACGACCCTAAGCTTAAATAAAGATAGCCAAATGGCCTTGGCCCGGCCCGGGATTGGTGGAGGACTGGGACCGACTTGGGACCGGCTGTCCGGGACCCGTTACGATATTCCACCAAAAACAAGGTCTGGCCCAGCCCAGGACCAGTTAAGGGCCCGACCTGATTTTTTATTTTAAATGTATTTTTAAGTATATTTTAAATTAATTATAAAATGTATTTTTAAGTGTATTATGATAAAAACGTATTTTTTTAGTGTATTAGGTTGACCTAGTTAAATATTTGGTCGATAAAATTCTTTATAACAAAAACGTATTTTTGTAGTGTTTATGATTGACCCAATTATAATAAAAACATATTTGTTAGTGTATTTAATTGACCAAATTCTTCAAAAAATAATTTACATATGTTAAAAATCAATTTAAAAAAATTAAGTGGGATTGATTTGGGCCCGATGCGAAACCGGTTCTCATAACTAGGCCCCATAAACCTTAATCGGGCCTTCCCTTTTAGACCGGAAGCTGTCTGAATTGTTACTGTTTAATCTCGGAACCGGTTTTTGACCATGTCTAAGGTTAAATGTATTATCTGAAAATCATTCCATAAAATTAAAAACGAAAAAAAAGCATATTCTCTTACTCCAGTTTTTCCTTTCTTTTATATTTCAGATGTTATCATTCGACCAAATAAAGTTTTAAAATTAAAAGAAAAGGACCCTTTTATAAATTTCTTTCTCATAATTTTTTTAATTTATTATTTTAAACATAAAATTTAGACATCATAATTCAAAATTAAAATTAGGGTATGTAGAAAGTCATTTGATTCAATTAGAATCGACTGAATATTATCAGATCGGATCGGTTGGTCGATCGTCCGTTATCACAAACTTTAATCTACAGAAGTATGTGGATGATCCCTCCCATTTTCTCTTCTCTCCCACTTCCTCTCATATCAGTCTATTTCTATTTCTTTCGGTAGTTTCAGAAACTCTCTGATGTCGTTCAACATTACGGGATTCCGAGGAAATATAATGTTCTTGCAAATCTGGAGTATTCAATAAATTTCTCCGTGTACTCACGTATAGTCAAATTCCCCTGTTATATTTTTAGAAATTCTTCCTCTAGCTGTCTAACTGCAGCTTTAGAACAAAATTGTTCTTTGAACATGTCCGTGAACTCCTTTCATGACATCGTTCGTGAAATATCTGGTTTAGATAGAGATTCTGCTTTTCACCAGTATAGAGCATTAGATTTAAGAAGTTTCAAACAACTTTTTGAAGCCAATTCTAAATTGTTTCGGTTAATAAACACGCCACTTTATGCTTTTAAATTCAAATCGAATAAGAAGTCCATCTTGTATAAGAAGTTTCAAACAACTTGTTGAAAACAAAAGAAAATTATTTATGATTTTTATACTTGCATATTTCTATATTTATAACATTCAGAAGGAAGCATTAAGCTCATAAAAATACACCTTTTCATTAGCAAAAATAATTGAAAGTGTTTCGGCAAAAATAACTGAAATTGACAAAAAGATCAAATATGATAATGAAAGTATTAAGCTGATGATGGAGAAAATACTGAAATTGTGTCAGTAAAAATCATCAGCAACTAATGTAGGTAATATAAAACAAACATATACGTGAAAATGATAATGAAAGATTCAATAGATTTGCATATAGCAAAAACTAACGATGATATCAAGGGCGGATAATTAATTAATGGGTAAATATATTATAGAATAAATTACGTTTTCGTTTCTATAGTTTGTTGAAAACTGCTATTTTTGTTTATTTGTTTTTAAAATTACGATTTTCATCTTTATAATAAATAATTCATTGCTATTTTTTGTTCTTATAATTTACAAATTTGTAGTTATTTCCGTCTTGATAGTTTACAAATTTGTATAAATTTTGTCCCTCATACTTAAAGTAGAGTTTGAAATCATAAGGGTGGTGTCTGATTGGTTTGAGCTTGACTCCAATGGTCAAAAATACCAGGAGGTCTTAGGTTCAAATCCAAGTAGGAACAAAAATCTCATTGTGGCCACGGAGATTCAAATGCAGTGACTCTGGACTATTTGCAAAGCAAGTGGTCGCCTTGGGATTAGTCAGCTTGTATAGCGGGTTGGATATCGAGGTTAATAAAAAAAAGTAGAGTTTGACTTAAGAATGAAAATAACATTTAAATTTAAAGATAAGGACTAAAATAGAAATTCAAAAACCACAGGGACAAAAGTTACCATTTATAACATATTACAGGGACTAAAATCGTAATTTACGTTTTATTTTAGAGTAAATCACTTTTTTGTCCCTGTGGTTTATTAGAAATTGCATACTTTGTCCTTGTGGTTTTCAATTTGTAGTTTTAGTCCCTATAGTTTGCAATTTATTTTTGTTTTTAACCGTAAGGTTAGCTACTCTTTTCAAGTATGAAGGATTAAAATATAAATCAATTTTTAAATTATAGGGATCAGATAATCAATAAGGATTTAATCATAAAAACTAAAACAATAACAAACTATAAGGGGAAAAGTTCAAAAAAATCCAACTAACTATCCAATTTTGAAAGATTAAGTTTCTAAACTATTTTTTTGAATGAAAACATTAATTTTTCTAATTTTGAATGATTAAGTTTATGAACTATTCTTTTTGAATGAAATAACAACTAAACTTTCTCTTTTTGAATGAACAAACTATTAAACTTTTTCATTTTTATTGATTAAGTCCTTGAACATTTAAAAATAAACAAATCATAACACTTTTAAAAATTAATCTACTACAAGTCTACATCATTTTGGCAGCGTTCGGTACGTAGACATGATTGGACAGAACTGGACAGGACAAGAGGGTAGGACTGGACGGGACTGAACTGAACTGAATAAGTGTGTGCGTGGTGTTTGGTACGACTAAGACTGGACGAGACAGAACTAAACAAGTTACTCCAAAAGTTATTTGATGATTTTAAATATTATATAATAATTATAATTACACACAAATAATTAAATGATTTCATTTATAAATATGTTTACACAATTTTCATATAAATGAATACATACATATATAATTGTACCAAATTTGAATGAAAATATTGATATAATTGATGTTAGTAGTAGTAGTGGTGGTTTTGGTTATGGTGGAGGTGGTTGTGGCCGACGTTAGTAGTGGGGATGGGCGGTGTGTTCGGTGGCCGACGGTAGTTATGGAGGTAGAGGTAGTGGTGGTTCGTGGACTGCGGTGGTTATAAAGGACGTGAATATAGTGGATTGTGGTGGTGGTGGCGGTTGACAACGGTGGAGGAGGTAGTTGTTGTTGATGTAATGAAGATAGTGGTGGTGGTGGTTATGGTGGAGGTGAGGTGGCAATGGACAGTGGTGGCAATGAACGGTGGTGGTCGATGGCCGATAATGGTTGTAGAGGTTGCAATGGACAATGGTGGTCGGTTGTCGACGGTGGTTGTAGAGGTCATGGAGGAGGTTGTTGCGGTATAGGAGATATTGGAGGTGGCCAACAGTGGTAGTGTTGGTGATAATGGGTGGTGGTGGTTGTTGGCCAATGGTGGTTATAGAAGTGGCAATAAAGAGTGGTTGTGGTGGTGGTAACAGAGATTGTTGTAATAGATGAGAAGTTGGAGGTGGCGAACGACGGTAATGGTGGTGGCAACGGGCGGTGGTGGTCGGTGGTCGACTATGGTAGAGGTGGCGATGGACGATGGTGGGCAATGGTTGTAGAGACGATGGAGGATGTTGTTGTAGCGGAAGAGAAGGTGAAGGTGGCCGCCGGTGGCGGAGGTGGCCGAAACTAACAGTGAAGACCATTAAAACAAATACCGTATTAAGGTTATATATCAAACTAGAGTAGATTAATAATATTTTAGTTTCTGTCTCGTTTTGTTCCACTTATTTTAGTGGAACAAGAAAAAATCTATTTTGTCATATGTTGTTTCATCTTGTCCCAATTTTTGTCTCTGTCTCATGACTCTCATCTCACGCTAAACATGGGACAGTGAGTTCTTATTTTGTCTCATGTTACGCCAAACGTGAAACAATGAGTTTTTTCTCGTCCAGTCTTGTTCCGTCCTACGTACCAAACACACTTTTAAGCCACAAAAACTTATATTAACTAACTAATAAAAATTCAATGATTTATTTATTATTTAAAAAAATCAGAATCTTAATCATTCATAAACCGAAAGTTTAATGTCTTTCTATTAAAAAAAATAATTCAAATACTTACTCATTTTCGTTCAAAAGTTTTTATGTGTTATCACGAACATAATTTACTCTTTATTTTAATTGTGGGTTCAGTTTTCTGGACACGTGTCAACCATGCAATCAAACACATACAAACCATATTCACTACGGCTATGGAGGTCCTGCTGGAAGCTTTCCACAACCAGAAAAGTTTCTAGGCGCCGATACCATTAAAGACATTCCTCACTCTTATCGCTTAATCCCCCTTTGCAATCTCTCCTAAATATAGAAACCCTATTTGGAGTTATCTCCGATTTCACACCGTCCCTTCCATTTTTCTTCAAAGCTGATCTAAGATTCCTTTGGGCATTTCTGCACGACACTTCATTCCATCTCACCGGACGTCACCTCCACCGGTTAATTCCGTCACTCAGAGAGAGAAACTGAACGAAATCCCCCTTAGTTAAAATGGTGTCCATTCACTCTCTCAATTCAATTTCCCACAATGCCGAACCGGAGAGGTTCATCGTTTGCAGCCAACGGAATTCCGATCATCGCCGGAACCACCGTATCTCTGATACTACTATGGGCGTTCTGGCCGGGAATCAGCTTCAGTACCATCCACCGTCACCGGATTACCAATTACAGAACCGGGTCTATTAATAGTTTCAGAATATTTTCCGGTGGAATCCGGAATACTACCGTTACCGTTCGACGGTTTAACTTGACCCACGATCCACCCGAACCGACATTCTACGACGACCCGGATCTCACATACACCATCAACAAACCCATCGAGAATTGGGACGAGAAGAGACGAGAATGGCTATGGCTGCACCCTTCATTCCTACCGGGTCTAGAGGAACGGGTCTTGTTAATAACCGGGTCACAACCCAACCCATGCCAGAACCCGATCGGCGATCATTTGCTATTAAGGTTTTTCAAGAACAAAGTAGATTACTGTCGGATCCACGGCTACGATATCTTCTACAACAACGTACAATTCCATCCTAAAATGTTCACCTACTGGGCCAAAATCCCGTCGGTTCGGGCCGCAATGTTGGCCCACCCGGAAGCCGAGTGGATCTGGTGGGTCGACTCCGATGCCGTTTTCACCGACATGGATTTCAAGTTACCGTTACAACGTTATAAAAACCACAATTTCGTCGTTCACGGCTGGCCCAAGCTGATCTACGAGAAGAAAAGCTGGACGAGCTTAAACGCCGGCGTTTTCTTGATCCGAAACAGTCAATGGKCTCTTGATTTCATGGATGTTTGGTCGGGTATGGGTCCTCAGACTCCGAATTACGAAAAATGGGGCRAAATCTTGAGGGAAACYTGCAAAGACAAGTTTTTCCCCGAATCCGACGATCAAACGGGTCTAGTTTATTTATTATTAAAAGAAAAAGAAAAATGGGGGAATAAAATATACGTGGAAGATGGGTATTATTTCGAGGGGTACTGGATGGAAATCGTGGGGAAATTGGTGAACATAACGGCGAGATATAACGGCGTTGAGAAACGGGAGCGCAGGTTAAGGAGACGGCATGCCGAAAAGCTGAGAGAAGGCTATTCTGCGCTGTGGGAGGAGTATTTGAAATTGGAAGGTGCAAGGTATGGCGTGGATGGTTGGAGACGGCCGTTTATGACGCATTTCACGGGGTGTCAGCCGTGTAGCGGCAGGCATAACGAGTTGTACACTATGCAGGGTTGTTGGGATGCTATGCAGATGGTATTGAACTTTGCTGATAATCAAGTGCTGCGTAGCTATGGTTTCGTGCACCCGAGTCTAGGTGATTCCGCCTCGGTGGTTCCTCTACCGTTCGATTATCCTGCTTAAGAGGGTAAAATAGCTGGTTGTATCTTGTTTGTGAAAATGTTAAGTTTACAACAATAATTAGGGTTTGAGGGTATAATTGTCATATTAATCGTTACAGGAATGTATCATCATCGTAATAAACACGGTTGTAGCATCGACTAGTTGTCTGTAACTTTTAAGGTTAAGTCTCGTTAAGCAAATTTTGTTGATCAGAAACAATGTCCCAATGTTTTCACCGTGACAACAAACACGTCCGATGGATCAAATTCATTTTTTCTCAACAACAATCATGATTACAAAGAAAGCTCCCCTTTGTGCTTCATATTCCCACCCAACATCTTGAATTTTGTAGATATTCGTTGGTTAGATAACAATCCTTATTTTACATTTTCTTTTTGTCCATGTGGTTTGCTTTTGGTTTTCTTGTACCCTTATGATTGCACTTCTTAACAAGCCGAGTCCCTAAATAAGAACAAAATCTCTCATAATATGAAACCACAAAGACAAAGGGGCCGTTTACCAAACGCTTACCTGGGTAAGCGTTTACCAAGCAACATTACCTCACCGGATGAATATAGTAAGGACCAAGAATCTTACCCGGTAAGAATGAGACAAGGATCAAGAGTCTTACCTGGTAAGTGAAGGCGACGACTCTTACCATGGTAAACGCTTACTGGGTAAATTGTTGTATACTATGTCGTTTTGGTATACTAAAATCTTACCCGGTAAGTAAATAATAATGTTAAATTTTACCGGATAAGTATGATAAACGACCCCAAAATGTAATTCTTTATTTAATGAGGTTTGTGTTTTCTTGATTGATAGTTGACCAAAACATATTGAATAAATGAAAATGATGACAACAAAGACTCATCAAATTAAATCATTAAAAATGTGCAAAAAAGTAGCAAACCCTATTTTTCATATATATATATATATAAATAATAAAAATACAAAAATAAAGAAAGCGATAGACTGGAAAACATATGTTTTTGCCTTTTTCCAACTGGGGTAAGCATATGTCTCCACTCATCCATCTGCACCAAGTAAATACTTTCTTCAATTACTAAAAATAATTGGAATTTATCAGACTGGAATGAAATGGATCAGCTCTATATACATCATTTTAAAACATTATTGTAAAATATTATTAATTATATATGTATATGAAGTAAATTACAGATTTGGTCTTTGTGATTTACACTTTCTACTCACAGTGGTCCCAAAATCAAAATAAATGTAAATTTAGTACCTCTGGTACGAATTTTCGCATATATTGAGTCCCCTTCCTTAAGATTCTAGTGATCCAGTTGAGTCCAAGGGTATTTTTGTCTGTTATCCTCCATTTTGTCTTTTTCTTATTAAAATAAAAAAACGAATTATATATATATATATATATA